ATGACAACGCATCACAGGGTTGGTGGCAAGTGGAAAGCTCCACTCAGTAAGGGAGGGACTGAAGAGAGTTGTGATGAGCAAGATCAGGGTGCCCTGTAGGGTAAGGGCCTATAATGATGGGAAAATGGGGGGATTCCTGCCAAGAAATGGGCTCCCTATTCTGGGAAGAAGGCAAAATTTCTCAATTGGCAAGACATAGAGTGGAAACTATACCTTCTCTTAGTAGATCAGAACTGCAGGGAGGAACAGAGAGCACTGGTGAAGCCGATCTTACTTTAGAACAAGCTAAAGGTAAGGTAAACAGCGTGAGCAGAACTGTATATTTTGTATATGAGAAGCACTGTAGTATATATATATATATATATATACATATATATATATTCTGCATGCAGATATGGAATCTAGAGTCTCATACTAGGCGCACACTCCTCACTCCTATGCCATTTCTTGGTTAAAGATGCTACTTACTTCACAGAGCTCTCTATGGCCCACGTCCTGTCCTGGCTTACGCTTTTCCCTCATTCCTTCACAGAAAATGCCACCTATTTCTCTGTTCTTTCCAGTTCTCTACCCCACCCTCCTCATACCTCTCCTCCTACCCTCCAAACACTCCAAGATTACGTTCTATATTTTTAAGTATCGCATGTTTAACATTCATGGTTTCAAATTAAGAATTTGATGCTTTGCCTTAACCAAGGAAGCAACAGCCAAGAGAACTCATTATACAGTTATGTCTGTATAAATGTAGATCAAATTCCTAAGAAGCAAAGAGGTTCACAGACACATAGATAGCTCTGTTTCGGTCTCTATAGCTTATGATCTAATAATACACCCCCAAACATCTGTGCATTCTTGTGGCTTTCTTATCCTTTTCAAATAAATGAAACTGGGGGAAACTAATTTTATATGGGGGAAGGAAATTGGTTCCGAACCATTTAAACACATGTGAGCAGAATTACAAAAGCAAAGCGACCTTTTAAAAAGCAACACATTCACGATTCACTCCAAACTTCCGATGTAGCCAGTAAAGCCCCAGCTCATGAAGTAAACCTAGACTTCTTTACACATTTGTGATGCTGACATTTCGCTTCTAGGCTAAAAATGTTTAAGTCGAGAATACAGTGTTGCTGACATCCTCACCTAACAATGCTTCGGGATTTGCTAATTTGCAAAATGGAGTTAAATCCAGGTATGAATGTAACTTAATTTGTTTTGTTTCTTTTAGCACCCCTTGCTATCGGATTCATCATCTAACAGTGAAATAAAATACACACACACGGGCGCATGTGCGCGCTTGCACACGCACACATACACACGGTGCTTTTTAAGGTGAACCCAGGTGGTGTTCATGTAGATGTCACAACGATGTCTCAGTGTTGACAATAGCTGCCACTGACTTAAAATTAAGCATGACATTCTAAAGACAAGCTTAGAAAACACCTCTGCTCTCTTCACCTGCTCGGAGAGACTCTCCCCCGAAGAATTTGCAGAAGTTCTGGAATGGATTCCTAGAGCACAGAGCTGAGGGGGAGGGGAGAGGAGGCATCACTTCCAGTCTGGAGATAGGGACCGGGACGGGAATTACAGCTTGTAAAAGAAGCTTCCATCAGTCTCCCAGGAGACAGCCAGCTTCTACTTGGGTGTTCCCCGCTTGTTAGCCTCAGCCATAATTGGTCTTTCCTCCCATCCCACGTTGTTGGTTTTCTGTGTGTGGCTTTTGGTGTGAGCGTGTTAGGTCATCAACAAATACAATGGGAGGAGGGAGTGAGGGAGACACACATTATTGTTTTAAAGAAGAAAAGAAAAGGGATAAGAGAGTGGGCAGGAAGGCTGTGAGCAGAATGGGGAAGATGCCCCAGGATTTAGGCTTCCGAGGCAACCCCTGGAGTGACAGAGAGTATGGGAGTTTTGTCAAAAAGAACTCAGGCCTACTAGGAGCAGGAGCCCTACTGAGCTCCCTCAGGAACACATCAATTTCTTATTGTTTTTCTTTGATATGGAAGTGCCCCTCCATATCGAGGATTTCTCATTAATTTTATTTTTTATTCTAATCTGGTATTTCTGCTTGGAAAGGCATGATAAGTCCTAAAAAAAAAAAAAAAAAAAAAAAAAAAAAAAAAAAAAAAAAAAAAAAAAAAAACAAAAAAAAAAAAAAAAAAAAAAAAAAAAAAAAAAAAAGCAAGCAGAAGCTCCCAGTTGGGCCAGACACAAAAGGCTCTCCACCTTTCTCCTTCCACATCTGATCTTCTCCTCCATTCCCCAACTCCTCCCCACAAAGAAAACCTCTCCTGGAGTGGAAGAGTGTTAAAAAAAATATATCTGCAGTCTAGTCTAAGGCCACTGCAGAGATAGGTGCTTTCTTAGTTCAAGAAGGGTAGAGACACAACTCAGAGTTTTTTGCTCAAGACGGGGATAGGTAAGGTCCTGAGATTTTGTGATATATATTTACTGTCAAAAACAAAACAACAACAAAAACCTATTAGACCCAGTAAGAAAGTGGTCAGAAGAGTAATTAAAGTTGCAAACTTTTGGTGGCTTTTCCCCTTATTTTGGATTTAAATTTTTTTTTTCACTTGAGGACTCCTGGCTGGCCTTGGTTGCTATGGTGCTGCAGCCAGGGCCATGTCATCACTGTCTTGACACAACAGAGACACCTCAAGTCTGAACCCTTGTTATTTTGCTACCATAAGAGAATCCTGACCGGAATTGAGGCTACTGGATGGTCTTCTTTCCTTCCTTCCTTCCTTCCTTCCTTCCTTCCTTCCTTCCTTCCTTCCTTCCTTCCTTCCTTCCTTCCTTCCTTCCTTTCGGTTGGAAAGGGAGTCTGTCTGTTCTGTGAGACAGGTCTTGAGATCCTTGTGTGAATATTAGCCAGTCTCTCTGCAGGGCACGTCTGGGTCCACAGAAGCTGGAAGAATGGGGGCCATCCTTAGCGTTCCCTTTGTTACATACTGTATTTTGCCTAGGGAGAACATAATCCGTCCGGGTCCCTGCTTTGCAGGATCGGGGAGCCCTGCTATAGGGGCCCTTGCTCCTCCGGAGAGGAAGCACCCCAAACTAACACGATGGGGCGGAGGGGGTAGGGGACAACAACAATAAAAAAACTGACAGTGGCTTCAAGGTACCTCCAGGTACGTCCTTTGGCAACCGCCTTCCCCAGGCCCTATTAAGCCTTCTCTCTCCCCTCCCCACAGCGCCCCACTTCCACATTAAAAGGCCCCAGAGCACTACGGACTGCCTTCTCTGTACAACGCCGTGAGGAGAAGGGCGATAAAGATCGGGCGTTTAAATTGGCCATTTGAAAGATTACATCTCTTCACCGAGGGTCTTTCTTTCTAAACTCTCACTGAATTGAGGGCCGTGGCTACTCTGCACCGATTCTCAAAGGCCGGACACTTTTTAATTCCGCCGTGGAGTGGGCAGGGCTAGGTGACCCGGCACCATCAAAGGCTCGAGGGAAGGCCGTGGGGCGACACTCGTCTAATGACAAGTAATTGACGGATTCGAAGCCCTGCATTACCAGCGGAATGGGGAGGCATTAATTATTTAAAAACGATTAGCCTCGCTGTGTGTCCTGCAGGCTTTCCATCTCGTTCGGGGAAGACAACCAGCCAGGCACACCAGGCGGAGCCCCAGCTTGGAACGCTGCAGAGGCTTTTCAGTTGGCCTCCAGTGTCCATAAAGTGGGCCCACAGCCTGGGATGCAAGGGCAGGACCGGAGGGTGTGCCTAGATTGCTCATTTTCGGAGGTGCCCTTGTAGCATGGACCCAGAGGGTCCGGTGGACTGTTTCTGCCTACTGGATTCACTGTCCGCAGACGGCAGTGCAACCTGGAATAGACTTCCAGTTAGGGTGGAATGTTCTGTTCACCTAGTGTGTCTCATCCTTTGTTGAAAGTCCCAGTGAACCTAACTGGAAGTGGGTTTCTTTCAATGCCAGGCACCTAGGTGTTTACAGCAAAGATCCTGGGAGAAGGCCGGTTTAAGAAAGAATGGAGGGACTGACAGACCACCGAAAAGATGATTTTCTTTTTCTTCTCCCACCCCCTACCTCCCGCTGATGGGCATAGAACCCTAAGCTTTACCTACAAGACAATCGTCTATTTCTGGTCTGCCCTCAAAAGTCTAGCATACTGTATTTTCAACAGGCTACAGTGGAAGCTAGTTTAGGAGATGTCGGCGGCACCTTCCCGAAGGCAGCCGAAAGAAGCGCTGGAGTCTAGTTTGTCTTCCAAAGTTCTGTTCTTCTACCCCTACACGCTCAAGTGCTACACCCCGAGCACGCTCCTGCTTTAGGGCAGCGCGACTAGGTTGTTGTAGAGCAGGGATGATAGACGACCCTGCGGCAATGCTTTGACTTTCTCTGCTGGGCCCAGCTCCTGACCCAGGGGGCTCTCTGCGGCCGGAAAAGCCAGCGCCACTTCTTGCGGGCAAGAGCTAAAGTGACTTCCAGGAAAGGCGCTGTCCCCCCCTCCCTGCACCCGTTTGGAGCTGCCTGGTCTGCCAGGATCCGGGAAGCGGCAGAGAACAGAACTCAGAGACGCACGCGCCCCGCACGCTGTGGCCTTCGCTTCTCAGGATCTTTTAGTTTCACGCACACACCGGCTGTACACCAATCTAGATTATGAGACCGAGGCGGACTCATGCCTCCCAAACACAGCTCTCAGGAAACTAACCGCTCTCCAACCATATGGCTGCAGGAACCAGTCCCCATTTCCCATCGCCTCGGGAATCCACCCAGACTGCTAAACTGTTGGGAGTTTTAAACTCCTAGACTTTTTGATCTTCTAAGCCACGGTGCAGTCTCGAATCTCCCACTCCCCCGCGAAAACGCTACTTCCCAACCCCCTGGGTCTTCATCTGCTGGGTGCACCTCCCAGTCCTCATAGAGGCACATGAGTTCGCGCTTGACTGGGGGAAGGGAGGCATGTGGACCTGAGTGGGGGGCGGACTCTGTGCGGGGTGCCCGGGCGTGGCCCCCCGAGTGGGCGCGCTCCCTACCTGTGGTGGCCTGCGGGCAGGCGGGCGTCGGAGCGTCCTGCGCTCGGAGGGAGGCGGCGGACTGCTCCTAGCCGAGGCATCCCTGCATTTATTTGAGCTCAAACCGAGCGACTGTTGACTTTAGCACACAAAGCAAAGATTTCACTGCCCGCTAGTTTAAAAATGAATATTTTACCAAGATATCGATCAGCGTTATAAAATTCAGTTAAGTACAATGGGATCCTGGAAAAAAAAAAGGAATAATAAAGGAGGGGGGGAGGCAATATAATATCTGTGCAAATTTGCTGAAGTGTGACGTGGCATGGAAAGTTTACCCTCCTGGAATTCGGATCTAGAATGTTTTTTTCGGTTGTTTACTGACTTTGTTTATTCACAGATCACGGTTGCTTAAACCCTGAGCAAGGAAGGCGACGGGCAACCGGAAGAAAAAAGGGGGGGTAGCCGCTGCACCCTGCAATGTGTCGAGTTGCGGGGGGGGCATCCCTAAGCTTCTAAACTTGGAAACTAGGGGAGGGAACGGGGGGGGGGGTAAGACACCAGAGAAGGGCAGAAAAGCCTCCAGGGCACAGCTCCCCTACAACCTTTTTATGTATTCGCACAGAACTATATCTTATCGGCAGGGATCAGTGGAGGGGGGGGCGCGCTAAGTAGTTTAAAACGACCCTCGAACAATGGGCATGCGATAAGAAACATAGCAGGTTAGGGCAGCGCTTTCAGCCTCTATTGTCCCCCCACTCGGCCCCCAGCCCTGCCTCTCCGCTCCTTCGCCACGGGAGCCTTTTATGTGATAATGAAACACATTTCAGGCCGGGCTCGCGACGTGTGTGTCCTGGCTAGGCAAAGAGAAGGCCTGATTGCTGGTTGCCGGCCTGCGGGTCCCCCCCTCCTTCAATTTCTCTTCCTTGTGTTCTTCGGAACAATGTGGCTTGTTAAAAGGGGATTTCGGGAGAGTGGGGATGGGGAGAGGCAGACACACACACACACACACACACACACACACACACACACACACAAGTATGCAAGCACAAGCGCAAGAGAAGGCCAGACTTGGGGAGGAGGAAAAGGGATGAACCAGGTGTCTCAGAGATCTAGGGCTGAGTTTCTTGTGGGACAGACAGGCGGTCTAGGTTGTAATAGTCAGGAATAGCCAGATGTCAGCTCTAAGCAGTAGCCGGAGGTTAGAAACACTTCTGATGTCTGCTTGAGTTTTTAAACAACGAAAACTGTTTTTGCTTCCCATGGGAATGGCCCCAAAGTCAGACTGGAGGGGAAAAAATGCTGTTTCCTTCCCTAGCCCAGGCACCTTGCTGGACAGGAGATGCAAGCCCCTGTGAGGTTCCCTTTGCAAGGCCCAGTCCCACTAGAGTTAGTTACCTGTCAATCTGGAACATCTGGAGAGAGATGGGATAAATGATAAGATTTTATTTTTTGAGGGGTGGGAGGTCTTTGTATTTCCCCAGAGACTCACAAAATACCCATTCAGCCCCTTGGGCCACAATTCTGGCTTTTCTATCTGAACTTCTGAGCTAATGGAGCTTTGTCAGGGCCACAAGGGTTAGCTGGTAGAAGGGGACACCAATTTAGAGACTTGGAGATCTCACTACTTTTGGAGTCACTTGGTAATAAGCTGCTCAAGGTGCCCTTCACTGCCTCCCCATCCCTCCACACAGCTTTATAAAAGGGGATTTGGAGGTTACCCTAAGCTGGGCACCTAAAACCAGTTCCAGAACAATATTCAAAATGTTTCCTCACATTAGGTGGCTCATAATTTCCAGGCTAGCAAGGTTTCCCAACACCAGGATAACACCTGCTAAAAGGAGAGGGTGAGACAAGCTGGTGTGTGTGTGTGTGTGTATTTGTGTTTGGGGGGGTGTCACAGGCTGGAGATCTCAATTCCACAGGAAGGTAAAGGGGGTTGTATGCCAGAAGTTGTCAAATGCTGCACCAAGAGGTTGTAAATCCAGTCTAGGCACACTAAGGAAAAAAAAAAAAAAAAACACCAGCAAACATGTAAAATTCTGCCTTTCTCCTAGCATGGCCAGTCCCAGGGGCTTCGGCAGCAGCGCATTTTCCAGTAACTCAGGTGGAAAATTAAGATAGGTGCACTCAGGGAGGTTTTTTTTTTTTTTTTCAAATAACACCATTGGACTTTTACTTGGGCTCAGTGGCACAGATCTGTAATCCTAGCACTGGGGAGGCAGAGGCAGGAGGATGACCAAAACCTGGTCTTCATAATGAGTTTCAGGACAACCAGAGCTACTTAGGAGACCTTGTCTTCAATCTCTGCACCTTAATAAAAAAAAAAATGTCGATTTGAGTAAAGATGCCGGATGGTCCATCAGAGACTTAAGTGTTTTGCCATGTTTAGTAATATAAACCTCAAAATTTAAAAGGTGACCATGAACAGTTTGATTTGTTTACTAATGTCGTTACTGCATTATTTAGGGACTGTATTCCATTCACTCTGAACATGCATTTCAGGAGGCAAGATGGGGGTGTGGCTAGGTGGACAAGCAGGGGGATGGGAGACTTTCCTAGGACTCAGCAGTGGTGCTTACAGGAAAATCCATTCAACTTTGATATTTAAATAAAATGTTAGGTAAACAGAAACACTGACCTCCAGTCTTCCATAAAAGCCCCGCAACAAACTCCCACCTCCTTCCCATTCTCTTGCAATAATTTATAAATCTGTTTAATTTTTAAGGAGAAAACCAGCAGGAAAAGAGATGGGGGGATAAAAGGGGCAGAAGAAAAGGACCCAAGGGGTAAAATCGGCAATAACACTTTAATATAGATTTATGGAACTCTGGCCGTTCTAGCCAGAACACACATTTTATAAGCCATAAATAAAGCACGCAGAAACCATAAATTAAATCAGACCCGAGACCTGGATTTCACCATGTCCAGAATGGGATGCATTTTTTTTTCTTCTCCTGATCATTTACACCAGATTCTTAACATTATTGTTTTTCCTCTTTTTAAACATCAGTACAACCCTCTGGTTCCCTGTTAAAACTACATGGTTTTACACCAAGTCACTCACAAAAGTTTTCGTTTTAGGTCAGACTTCCCTGCAACATCAACAATAGAGAACAACAACAAAAATCAGAATCTGCAGGTGCCTTGAGAAGGAGGAGTCTACAGGGTGGAAGCCAAAGGCTCCTTTAAAACTGTTTATATATGTATATGTATATATATATATATATTTCCATCCCCTTCTCTATTTAGAATGACAGATCACCGAGGCCCAGTTCTTTAGGGGCACAGACAGTTGGGTGAGACTGCACTCTTGGGGCCTGAAGTGTGGTGGCTTTTTCCCCCAACTTTTCCAAAGTCTCCAGGCAGCCTCTCTTCTCTCTGGTCCTTCTCCCGCTGGCCAGAGCTAGCAGGGCCTGCAAACCTTCTTCTTAGGAGGAGTTCATAATAGGCCTGGAGTACACTCCTTGGTAGTAGGAGGTGTCTGCAGCCAGGGGCGAGGCATCCAGGCCCGCTTTGTTCGTGACTGGGCCCATGGCCAAGCTGCCCGGCATGGGGGAGCCATAGCCCCCAGGGTAGTGCATGACTTGTTCATAGGCCTTGAGGTCCATTTTGTGGGGCTGATGGTGGTGGTGGCTGTGGTGGTGTTGTTGCTCAGAGGACATGAGGTTGTTGATAGAGAAGGGGTGGTTGAAGGCGTAATGGTGCTCCGGCTTCAGGTGGGCCTCGGGTGGTAGGCCTGGGTGGTGAGGTGGGCCCAGCAGGTGGGCTGCAGCCTGCTGCGGCTGCCCCGGCGAGGGCGCCGGCTCCGGGGGACTCAGCGCGGAGGCGGGTGTCCCCTTCAGCTCTCCTAGGCCTCCTCGTTTGTGCTCCTGACACGGGGAAGAGCTCGAATGGGGGGACTCGGTGCCCGCCGGAGTCTCAGAGGCCGAGCCCGCTGCCTCCCCGAGCTGAGCCTGCGAGGCCTGAGTCCCAGCAGCGGTCTTCTTGCCTCCGCCCCCGCCTGCCCCCGCGGCTTCCTTCAGTGCCAGCTGCTTCTCACACTTGAAGCGCTTCTGGCGGCGCAGGTAGCAACCATTCTCGAACATGTTACCCGAGTCGGGGTGCAGGGTCCAGAAGGAGCCCTTGCCAGGCTTGTCTGGCGAGCGGGGCACCTTGAGAAAGCAGTCGTTGAAGGAGAGCGAGTGTCGGATGGAGTTCTGCCAGCGCTGCTGGTTCTGTCGGTAGAAAGGGAAGAGGTCCATGATCCACTGGTAGATCTCGCTCAGCGTCAGCATCTTGTTGGGGCTCTGCTGAATGGCCATGGTGATGAGCGAAATGTATGAGTAGGGAGGCTTGGCGTGTGTGTAGCTGCGCCGGTATGTCTTGGGGTCCCGTGCGCGGCTCAGGCCCGCCTGCCCGTACATGGGGCTCATAGAGTTCATATTGGCATAAGGAGCAAGGCCACCCATGGCCCCAGCCGCCTGTCCCCCGAGTGGGCTCAGGCTCGGGCTCAGGTGCGGTCCCATGCCTGCCACGCCGGCCGCACCAGCTGAGCCGCTCATGCCCGCCATGGCGCCCGCGCCCGGAGACATGCCAGCTAGGGATGGGCTCATTCCAGCGCCCACATACGATGACATGTTCATGGAGCCCGCGCTCATGTTGCCGGAACCGCTGCCCATAGCGGCAGCGGACATGCTCATATAAGTGTTCATGCCGTTCATTCCCAGGCCGGCGTTCATGTTGCTCACGGAAGAGTAGCCCTACGGACAGAGCCCGGGGAGGAGACAGGTTAGCACCTAGGCTGTGCGTGCCAGACCCTCCCACCCACCAGCTGGATCCAGTCCCCCACCTTCCTGGAAGCTTCTGGGAATCTCTTTCTTTCCCTGGGTCCCCAGTCCACCAACACCCAGTCCTCTGTGCCTCAAAGCGAGCCGGACAGGTGATCGCCCTAGGAGAGGTGACTAGCGGGCTGCAGTTCTAGGCTTGTGGCTCGTTCCTTGCCCAGACTGGAGAACATCGATGCCCGGGACCACTACTAAGTCAGGCACCGCAAGTATATTTTACTCTCTTGGACTCCCCAAATCCTCTGGATAGCATACTGAGTAAGCACTAAGGCTGGAAATCTCAGTTGCAATCCCTGGTCGCCAAAAGCCACCTTTGGAAAGTCACTGGGGCAGTCTCAAGTGGAAATAGTCTCAGTG